GTAATAAAAACAAAACTGTTCAAGGGGCAAATAGATACACTGTGGGGGAAAAACAGCAGGATAAATACACTTCCCACTTAGGTTGGGTGGTCTGTGATGTTAATATGATTGATTTCCAGGGTGAAGTGTAAAGTATTTGCCTACTTTTAAAGGGGAGTGGGAATTTCACAAACATTTTCATTTAAAAACTGGAGTTTTACAGAGTCCCCTGGGGCCACAGTCGAGTTTTGTTTGCTCTCTGCGGGGCGGAGATATTTGCACAGAGAGAACCGACCTAGGGAAAACCGGGTGAAAACAACGACGCTATTGCGATTTTTGATTTTAACTTTTATGATTATGAATACTCTGTGAGGGTTCTTGAAGAGCAGTGGCCGAATGGTTAGAAAGGTTCGAACCTTGGAAAGGGTTTGGGGATTGTTTTTTTTTCGAGGGCAAAAAATAAAACCCTCATCTGACAGTCGTGGCGACACATACCATGCGGCCCAAAATCCTATTCCCCCCCCCTTCCCCTTTTCCCCCCCCCCAAAAAGGGTAAATGAAATGATTGGCAGTTTGATGGGTTTTTTTTATTTTGTTTATACAGAAAATGTAGTTTGCATGCAGTGTTTCATACTCATTTTTAGGCTCAGGCCAAAGCAAAAAAATTGCAGAAGGGAAAAAGAAATGGTGAGCTGTTTTAGGGGGTTTGTCTAACGGTTGATTAGTGTCTCTGTTTGTTGTGTCTTTTATTTATGCAGGGCTCTTTTTCCCCTCTTTCCTTCTTTATCTTTTCCCTTTCCCCTTTTGGGTCTAAAATTTTTCTTCAAAGGAGGCAAAAGGAGGGGGCCCCAACGTCGAAGAAAAATTTGTTACCCCCCTTCCTTGCCTCTCAGGGCAGATGGACTTGTGCTTTGAAGGAAACAGGTCCCAGTCGCCTCCTGCAGCATGCTGGTGGGGAGGGGGGGGGAGGGCTGGTCTATTCTATGTTCTCCAGAATGAAGCCCAGGAAGCCACACCAGCGGCGCACACAAATATAAATATAATTTTAAAATATGTCTGTAGAGCCCGAGATCGTTTCTAAATAAGCAAGTCATGATTCATTCCAGTCCTGCCCTCTACGGGTTCCAGGGCTGTATGTTTCTGAGGGGTGGGAGGGAAGAATAGACTGACAGCTCCTCAACCATCTTGTCATAAAAGGTGATTCATTAAGGATTTGCTGAAATCAGATGTGTTGGGTTGAAAGGCACCAGTGTTGCAATCTAGCTGTCAAATACAACACAGCATGCTTACCACCCTTTTAAGAAGAATGAACACAGAAGAAGAATGGAAGTCCTAGCATTGTCTTCTTCTTCTTCTGCCTTTCTATCCCCCAATGGAGCATAGGCCCTCAACCAACTCACGCCAAGTCATTCTATCCTTCGCCATTGCATGGAGCTCTCCCCATGTCCTCCCCATATTTCTAACCTCGTTCTCCAGCTCTCTTCTCCATGTGTTTTTTGGCCTTCCTTTATTCCTATGCCCCTGTGGGTTCCAATGCAAAGACATTCTAGTTATGCTGTTCTCCTGTTTTCTCAGTGTGTGCCCTATCCAACGCCAGCGTCTTTTCCTCACTTCCTGATCCACTGGAGCCTGTTTAGTTCTCTCCCAAAGTTCTACATTAGTTATTCTATCATACCATTTTATTCCCTCTATTCTGCGCAGGCACCAGTTAATGAATGTCTGTAATTTATTAGTATTGCCTTAGTTGTTCTCCATGTTTCCGCCCCATACAAATAGTACTGATTTGACATTAGAATTAAAAATTTTTAGTTTAGTATTTCTTTTAATTTCTTTTGACCTCCACAAATTCCCTAGTGGTATAAAAGCCCCTCTTGCCTTTTGTATTCTTATTTTAATATCTCTATCAGTTCCTCCATCTTTATCTACATTACTGCCTAAATAGGTGTACGACTCCACGTCTTGGAGTGGGGTGCCATTAAGAGAAACCACATTACTATTTGCCTGATTTATTATCATTATCTTTGTCTTTCCTTTATGGATTTTCAGACCAAGCTGCTTTGATCTCGCATTAAGTATATTTAATTTATCTTGCATCTGATTCTGTGAATGGGACAGAAGAGCAATATCATCAGCGAAGTCCAGATCATCAAGCTGTTTTGTAGGGGTCCACTGAATTCCATTCTTGGTGTTAGCAGTTACTGTTTTCATAGTCCAGTCTATAGCCAGTAAAAATAAGAGAGGCGACAAAAGACATCCCTGTCGCACACCTGTTTTTATTTCAAATGCATCTGTTAGCTTTCCCTCATGAAGAACTCGACATTTCATGTCTTTATATGTTGCCTTTACTAAGTTGATAATTTTCTGTGGGATTCCATAGTGCCCCATCAATTTTCAGAGAGATTCCCTATCTATGCTGTCAAATGCTTTTTCATAGTCTATAAATCCAATGTAAAGTGGTGAGTTCAGTTCAATGCTTTGCTCTATTATAATACGTAATGTGGCTATCTGATCAGTACAGGATCTGTTTGACCAAAAACCTGCCTGCTCATCTCTTAGCATTTTATCAGTAGCATCTTTTAATCTTTCCAAAATAATTCTACTTAATATTTTTCCAGGAACTGACAGCAACATAATTCCTCTATAGTTTTTCACACTCCTGTAGATCACCTTTTTTTGGGCAGTTTCACAAGATATCCTTCTCTCCCAGTCTGCTGGTATTTCTTCGGTCTCCCAGACTTTACTGAATAATCTATGTAGCAATTCTGTTGATGTGTTTATGTTGGCCCTGATGGCTTCAGCTGGATACCGTCTGGGCCTGTCGCCTTTCCTTCCTTGAGAAGATTTATAGCTTTCCTAATTTCATCTTTGGATGGTATCTCACAGTTGATATCCAGTTCCATTTCTAAAGGCTGGATATCTGGGGGAACCTCTGGGCCTGGTCTATTTAGAAGCATTTCAAAATATTCAACCCATCTGTCCATTTGATCTTTAGTGTTAGTAAGTACCTTTCCTTGACTATTTTTGATTGATCCAGTTGGCTGACTATATTTACCTACTAATTTTCTTGTGTTACTGTAAAGTTCTCTGAGGTTTCCTTTTGCTGCTGCTGTCTCTGCTTCTTGTGCTAGATCATTTAGATATTTCACTTTATCTGCACTAATATGCCTCCTAACTTCCTTGTTGGCTTCTGTGTATTTCTCCTGAGCTCTAGCTTTAGCAGCTCTAGTTTTGCTATTGTTTAATTCTGCCTTTTTACTTTTCCTATCTTCAATCAGTTTAATGGTTTCTGGTGTTATCCATGCTTTATGTTTCCTTTCTTTCTTGCCAAGAACTTCTACGCAAGATTGATTCCAGATTCCTTTGATCTGATCCCAGCAGACTTCTGTGTTGACATCTTCAGCTAACTGCTGCAACACCTGGTACTTATTAGAGACCGTAACTGAGAACTGTTCCTTAATTTCTTTATCTCTGAGAAAGCCTACATTATATTGGTTTCTATGATTATAAGATGTTATATATCTTTTTAGTTTCAACTTGATTTTACTTACCACTAGGAAATGGTCAGTAAATACATCGGCACCTCTGAAAGCCCTAACATCGTAAAGGGATGATCTAAACTTTTTGTTAATACATATGTGGTCAATTTGATTAGTTGTCTTATGGTCTGGTGATTCCCATGTTGCCTTGTGAATACTTTTATGGGAAAAAATACTTCCACCAATAACATACTGGTTACCTGCACACAAATTTGTGAACAATTCTCCATTTTCATTCATCACTCCTAGACCATGTCTCCCCATAATTTCTTCATAACCTGTGTTGTCTTATCCTATCTTAGCATTCAAGTCACCCATCAAAATTTTTAAGTTGCCCTTTCTTTCATTATTTATAATATTTTGAAGCTGCATGTAAAATTCTTCCTTAACAGATGCATCTTTATCATTTGTTGGTGCATAACACTGTATTACCGAGATGTTCACCTTCTGTTTAACTGTTCTAAAAGATGCTCTTATTATTCTGGGACTCACAGCTTCCCATTCTATTAGTGCCCTGTCTGCTTCTTTTGATAGCATCAGGGCCACTCCCTCACTGTGCGGCGAATTTTCCTCTGTGTGTCCTGAGAACAAAATAGTTTCTCCTGAATTTAGAATACTTTTCCCTGCCCCAGTCCATCTAGTTTCACATAACCCTAAAATACTAATTCTATAATGTTTTATTTCCTTTGCTACTTCCATTGTTCTTCCTATATCATAAAGAGTTCTAACATTCCAGGTGCCAATTCTGGAGGTTTTCCTAGCTGAGAGGAGGTAAGTCAACGATCCGGACTCCTTACGGCTTTCTCCACACTGTGTCATACTTCTTCTATTTGAAGAGCCTTCCCTCATCTTGGTTGGCTGGATTTTATTTGCTTCTTTTTTTGACTTATCCATGGTTGGTTGGTTTTTGTGGCTATGGTTTTTACAGGATGAGGTAGCCAACCTTAAGCCCAACCCTACCCTTAGTCGCCTCTTACGACATGCCTGGTAGGGTGCAGTGTCACTATTCTTTGCTTCCCGTGAGGGCCCCGGTGACACACGGGCGTCCTAGCATTGTAACATGCCTTAATTTAAAACTTTGATGTACTGAAGCAGCCCTGCATCTGTCTTGTAGCGAGACACACATGGTTGTGATCTGAGAAACGCAAACAGTAGGTTATAGAAGAGTATATTGTACTGTTTAAAAAACAGATACGTATAGTTATCTGATGGTGCATTTTTATTAGTTGACTGGAAAACCTGTATGCCTAAAAATTATTGATGACCTAAATGCATAAGAACTGACAGTTGATTGGCTGAACCCTAAGGCATTCTTATGTGCAGTCTGAACATTTTTACTCATTAAATTACGAAAAGACTTTGGATGTCAAAATTATGTTACTTTCAGTAACTTTATGTTTCTACCATTTTTTTTTTAATTTTATTTTTATTTGAATAGTAAATTTCAAACTGTTACAGATGGAATTGTCAATGACTGCAAGTGAGAGGGAGACAACCGCTGACAAAGTGTCTATACGAGGGTCAGGTTCCTACTTTAGTTGTTATTCTTAGCCTGCATTTTTCTTTCTTTATCTCGACTTACTATTTCTAGTTTTTCTAGACTTATTATTTTGTAAGATTTTAAAAAGTGTTTTAGATTTTTATATGCTTAACACGTTAATTATTTTTTTCATTTTACTTCCACTCTGCAGAGTTTCAATATACAAATGATATATTTATTCTGTGATACATTTTACAAAGTAAACAATGCTGGCACCTCATGAATTGTTCTTTCCTTCACACAATTTCTTCTATATCCCCCCCCCCCCCCCCCCCCCTCCCGATCCATTCTCCCTCCCACTCTCACTTGCTTTCAAACTGTTTCCTTATATTTAATCCGGTTGAAAACATCATGTATTTGGTTTATGAGAGTATTTTATTTCCTAAATCATGTACATACTGTTTTGACGACATCTGTTTTCCACAAAGTGTTGAAACTTTCCTGATATCTAAATAGCACACTTACCTGACAATCTTGCAGGTGTGACAAGGGTGACCTGGTACTGCTGTGTCTGGACGAGCGGCACGACCAGTATGTGGTGTTTACTGTTGGAACCATCCTGCACTTCTTGCATAGTGAATCTCGTGAGACTCTCGGCCTCAAGACATGTAAGCTGTCAGTTTTGTGTGTTCAGCAAAATCAGATATTTTAGAAGTAGAGATCAGGTAGCAGTTTTTGTGTGTTTCCATAGACAAGCAATTTACGTGAGGCATATTTACACAAGACATATCATTGGGCAAGCGATTTACACAAGGCTTATCATTGGACAAGTAGTTTCTGCAAGGTATATCATTCAGCAAGCAATTTACACAAGGCATGTCATTCGACAAGCAGTTTCCACAAGGTATATCATTAGGTAAGCAATTTGTGCAATGTATATCATTGGACAAGCAATTTACACCAGGCATATCATTGGGCAAGCAGTTTACTCATCATATCATTAAGCAAGCAATTTATACCTGGCATATAATTGTGCAGACACATTATAGGATAGTTGACCATATCATCTTTGAATGCAGATCATTTGATCTGAGAGAGAGAGAGAGAGAAGGGGGGGGGGGGGGGGGGGGGAGAGGTCAAGTCTGTTTTGGTAGAAAAGATGTAGTTAAGAAAGAAAGAAAAGGAGATGGGTATGGGAAGGGAGGAAAGATAGACAGATAAAGTTAGTTAATGGTGAGTTTTATATCTTTACAAGATAGACCTAGAGCAAGCTGGAAAGATAACTTCAGAGAAACTCTGCAACAGCCCGATGTGTCTCTCGTGAGGCAGCCAAAAGACCTTGAAGCATAATCTTTTATCTCCCTCAACATTCGAAGCGGTAAAAGAGGAATTGAAGAAGAAGATGTATCTAGGTCCTCCTAATAAAACTAGTCTTCCTACCGTTTCCAAGAAGACTAGAATTGTAACTCAGTACCCCAGATTTCAGTTACGCTCATGCCATCTTAGTTAAATTTAGCCTCATGAAATGTTAATGATTTATTAACTTCATGCAGGTGTCCATCAGTTAACTAACTGAAAGAAGTTACAACAAATAAGCAAGATAAAAATGTGTTCATAAACCATGATTTCTTTTTTATAGATGGTGAAACTACTTGTAGAAAATCGTGGATTCTTGCTGAAGTGGTGGATAAGGAGTATTGTTTAGCCAAGAAGGTAACATAAAATGTATAACATTTAATGTTTGGCGGGGGTGGGGGGGTGTGGGTGGGGGGGGGGGGTATTTCTGTATAAGTGAATGAATCCTGTTTGATTAATAAGGTTTTGTAAACAGTAATGTATTGTTGTTTAGAAGGAACAGGTTTATGAATACCAACATTACAGAGAAAGTTGGATCAAGTCCATACCGTATTCAAAAACAAAGTTAGTTAGTTGACGGATTATTCTCATTGCACATCAAAACATTTAGTCCATAACTACTCAGATCCCCTCCTCAGTAAATCAGGCAGTGTGTAGCGGATGATGGCACTAGTCACGTGTTGGTTTCTTATTCATCTTTGGCTTCCTGCATAGCGTTCCTGTCTGGCCACACACCCCTTTTTAACTTGCTGTGCTTGAAGTCTGTTCATGATTGCAGATTCACAGTCATTACTTGGTTCTCACAAGACTGTTACTTCTTGCAGTGCATTCAGTATATCAGCCTGGTCCACGGCTTGTCTGCCTTCGAAAGAACAAACTTTATTTTCATAGGGTCACAAGTTGTCCACACAGGCCCATCTTACATTTAGCCCTTCCAAACTCTGTTCTTTCTTTTATTTGATCAATAAAGCATGTAATAACAATATGTATAATATGAATTTCAAGAAAAAATACAACTGCATGGATGGTTAATGTATGTGCACACACTATTATTGAAGTAATGCTATGAGGGCCAAATTGTAACAACACTTGGTCTGCAGGTGACTAGGCAACCTGCCTTTTTGTAAAGCAAGTGAGATTTGTGTGGTTACGATGCAGCAAAGAGCAAACATTAAATTCTGTTTTAAGTTTAGAAAAGTGCTACAGAGACAGTTGAATTTATGAGACCAATTTATGAGGATCAGTGTTTAACTCTTATGCAAATATTTTGGTGGTATTCTTGATTCAGAACTAGTGTGAAAATGAGAAAGGATGAAGCGAGACTGGGATGTCCAGTTTCTGTTTGTAATGATAAACTCAATGCCAAAGTCAGAGAAAGTTTCTACAAAGCTTGATATCTGACTGTGAGGATGATGGCAGATAAATATGATGTTGAATTTGATAAAAATAAACCTTCAGAAACTTGTTTCATCAGTTCAACTGTTTCAGTAGCACTTTGTTTAAAACAATGGAATGTTTGCTTTGTGCTCTATGCTTCATCGTAACCACACAGCTCTCACTAACTAAACAAAATGGGCTACTTGTCTTCTTCTGACCGAGCAGCATTACAATTTGCAAACAAGTGTAGATGAATGGTGCCTGTTTAGCATAAATAAACTCAGCAGGAAAGAACAAACATCAATTTTTAGAATTTGGACTGGAGACTGTGGTCTTGGAGCACACCTGTACAGGATAGGCATAAAAGAATCTGCTGCCTGTGATTGTGGAGCAGAAAGACAGACCCCTGAGCTTATACTGCAGTTATGCCCTTACTTTGCCAGCAAAGACTGTTGATCTGGCCCAAGGCAGCTACATTGCAAGAGAAGCTATGGGGGACCGATGGCGACCTTAAACGCACAATCCTATTTGTGACCCAGATGGGACTCAGTGTTTAGCATGACTTATGTCGAGCGCAGAAGAAAAAGGTGCCTGTTTAGATGACATGCTTTGCGCTCATTGATAGCATTTTTATCTTGACCATAATAAAATCAATCTGATTATTTAATTGCCAGACTGTTTAATGTGTTTCCTTGTACCTCAGCCAAACAACAGGTTCCGTGTACCTCAAGGAACTTGTTTCTACAGAGTCAAATGCAAACCCTGGAAGTGTGACTCCGATGCAGGCAGGCTGGACCAAGAAGCAAGTAGGCATGTGAAGACAATCAAGCATGATCCCAGTTCAGGAGCTCGGGCCAAGAAATCAGAGAAGCAAGAAGAGCCCATGAAATACTAGGCAGCAAATTGTATTCATGTAGTGGTGCAGAAACACGAGTCCAGCCATGTCGCACTGGGCAGGCAGGGTCTGCAAGAGTTTGTTGATGAAATAAATTTTTACAGCATAATCAAGTGTGCTTAATTGCCTGCTTTCTTCTTAGTTGTCTACTGTCATCTTTTGGTCAGAGAGAACCGTGCACATCTTTTTGTAAACTACGATACAATTTTAACTTGCTAATTTGGGTGTGGGTTGCTCTCTACACACGGAGAGTCTATACAGATTTGTAAAACTTTCAGTTTGATTGTAGCGGTACATGTTTTAATTATAAATATCACGTAAATAGTTGAAAAATGAAATGTTATTAAAGATCTTTATATAGTTTATGCCATTTGCAGTCATGTCTTTCCATAACCTTCTGTCTCATGTACTTTCACTTATTTCTGTCACAGATGATCTTCCATGCCATGATTTCAGACTGTCGTGAATCTATTCACTTGGTGCCCCTCTGCCTCTTTTCCCCTCTAATTTTCTGTCAGGCTGTACTCTATTTTTCTCCTTCCTATCATATGACCACAGAATATCTTTTTTTTCACATGGATAATTAATGAGTTTTCTTCATTTGTTAATTTCTATCAAGGTCTTCTTTACTCTTGTTACTGGTCCATTATGTTCTCGTCATATATCCATAGAACCACATCTCTGCAGCTACCACACATTATTCACTGAAGATATAACTTGTGTGAATTCAGAAACATTTTCTTCATTCTCATTAATGGATTAGCGGTGGCAAATAAAAGAATGAATTCATTAGTGTTTTGGTTAATTACCCTGAAAATTCCCTCTAAGTTCCCAACACATTTTATAATAGTTCTTTTTCATTTATCAGTGTTAGAGGTCACTGCATGAGTCACCTAATACAGTTTCTTTTATAGATCTGGGAAATATATTCTTTTTAAAGCTTCACTCCATTCATGCTTATTGATTACCATGTGGAGAGAGTTGTGACAAGATGCCAAAAAGAGACTATGGCTGCAATTGACATAGAGCAGAGAATGCTTTTCACACAATATCAACACCTAAACCTGTCAGTGGTTGATTGTGGCCTGGGAATGCTTGCCGTTTCAAAGAGCCAGATGGACAAACTAGAGCGCATACATAACGCAGCAATGCGGGTCATTCTGGGTTGCACCAGAGACACCCCCGTGGTGTGTATGCGATACATCTTTGGTTTGCGGACTGTTGCAGGTAGGCACAAGGTGCTGCAGGTGAAATCATATCTTAGGGTAGCTGCAGACCCAGACCACCCTTTGCACGAAACTCTGGGTGCAGTTAAGGGTCAACAGCTGATAAGAGGGAAGTCATGGATGGCTCAGGCAGAAGACACAGACAGGTTTGCATCCTTAAGAGCATAAGGTGAGGAGAGGAGTGGGTCAAAGTGCCACCTGAACAGTCGGACCTGTGTAGGGTCTTAATCACACTAAGCCGGAAATGCAGAGACTAGCCAGCAGGTGCCACAAAGGTTTAAATTCAGCACTTAATTCAAGATAATGCTCGCTCAGAGGATTTGATCATTAACACAGCCGGTTCAGTGTCAAGAGGCAAAAGAAGTGCTTGGGGTTTCTTAGCAAAAGTTAATGGTCGATGTTTGGTGCAGGAGAGCCTAGCATATGATACCACAACATCCAGCTCAAGAATAGAGGTGGAGGCGGTCACTGCGGCTTTCCGCTGGCTAGAGAACACGACACACACACATTGTGATTGTAACTGAGTCAGAAAGCATGCTGAGGAAGATCAGGACAGGCGTGCAGAGTGGCATGCCTCGTTGCGGAAGACACGGGTGAGGAGTATTGTCTGGATTTTTTCACCAGGGAATGCCGGTGTGTTGGGAAATGAACAGGTGGACAGATTGGCTGGCTCTGCACAGCTTGGTGGAATACTGATGCATGATAAGGCAGACGTGGTTAGTGCCTTGTGGGAGAGCGTGTACAGTTCGGAGGAGCAGATTGATCACCGCAGTGTGGTGAGATTGATGCAGTTGGGAGTGACGAGAGGTTCTGGCAGATGCTCGAGGCTCAGAGGAAAGGCAAGATGGATGTTAGAACTCTTCGCTGGCTGCTGAAGATGGGGACGGAGGGCTTATGGGAATGCCCCAAGTGCTGTGATGTCGGTTCTTTGAGTCAAAACAAATGCTTATTGATTATTTCCTATATAGATTCTAAAAGAAAAACAAATAAGATGTATAATAACACATTCTGTGGCTTAAGCGTTGCGAATGTGCTTCGTGGTGCCGGGTTCGATTCCAGCTGAGGGCTTTGTGTCTTGCGTTGGTTTCGACAGTGGTCTCGAGAAGTTGACTGTCGAAAAAACTGGTAAACTACTGGATGTAAATTTGCTTAGAAAACCACAACAGCCAAAAAATGCTGGAATTGGTCTTGTAAAGGATACGCAACCAACTAAGAATAATACATTTAACAAAAAATGTATTAGTGACTGATGTAAAGTTTATTTTTGAAAAGACTTGGTGGAGTACCCAACCAAAGTATCCAGGCACTTGAAAAAAAAAAAAAGCATTTTAATGGTGAAAGGGTTACAGAAGGTAAGAAAAGATGATAAAGCAGTAGTGACTAGTCACCCCACATCATTTCATCATGACCTAGATCTGTGAAGGCTTAATACTTGATCACATTGCCATTATCTGCTCTGCGACTGCCGTTACCATTTTATGACTGACTGTTTTGACTTTTTGAAAGAATGATAATATATATTCTTTATTCAACAAAGCTACATATTCAGTCAATTTCCTTTTTGTTTATGTAGTTTGATTTCGTACTCAAAATTATCCAGTTTTAAAACCGAGTTACCTAATTTTACTTTCAGTTTTTTTCTTCTTCAGTTTTTGTATATTCCAGTGAAAGTTTTAGTACCACTAAAGGCATTGATTGAAAGTTAAGTGCCTGATGGTTTACATTCGATTCCTGTACTCCGCACTGTTGCATGCAACTCTCTTGATTTCTAACATGGAGTTCAGCCCAGCATTTTTAGTGTCTAGTAATAATGTTCTTTTTAATGTTAGTTATATGATATAGAGAATGACAATATATTTGACACATTACGAGAAGTGGACAGAATCACTGAACAGTCACTAAAATGGATTAAGGAAACAATGACGTTCAAGGCAGATCCCAAGAAGAATGTTGTTAAGGGAGGCCAAGGATTCTGGACTGGATTTCATGCATGATTACGAGAGGATTGCTCAGGACAGAACTGAAGGGAGGACTAGCTACGAGCCCTGATGTTTAACTGGACAGCAGGATGGGGTTAATTTGACTTTTATAATTTCAGGTTGGGTTTGTTACTTTATATACATAGTTTAACAATAGTTACAAATGACGAGGAAAAAACCAACAAGAAAGACAAGGAAATCAGTGGTTTTTTGTTGTTGCTTTGTGTTCATGCGCTTTGGTAGATTGGCAGGTAATTGAAGTCTGTACAGATTTTGATGAACTTTGTTTGATGGATTTTAGTGGTGATTTCTGAACACAGTGCATGTAAAAAAATGTCTTTCATATTATCTGTATCATTATATGAGATGTTTGAATGATTTTGAGTTTCTGTGAAGTTCTCTCTCTCTCTCTCTCTCTCTCTCTCTCTATATATATATATATATATATATATATATATATATATATATATATATATATATATATATATAAGAGAGAGAGAGAGAGAGAGAGAGAGAAAGAAAGAAAAAGAGAGAGATTGAACTAATTCTGACCTAGTCAGCTACAATGAATAAACTAAATGCCAGTTATTCCAAGGATATTCATGCCCTCTCCATCGGCTCACAATATACAGTAAATTAGTATGTTGTGGCAAACAGTCAGATGTCACAGTCTAGCTGTAAGCCACATCTCATTTAAGCAAACAGTTAGCTGCCATTTATAACATCCTTGTCATGGGGCAGTAGATATATACATCCCCCCCCCCCCCCCTTTCCCTAAATGAGGTCCGGGAGCTGACATGGGGACAGAAAGTATTCAAATATGGCATTTCCAGAACGCAAACTATGGACAGAAATTGGCACAACACGGCCTCATATAAAATCATAGCTGACCAGAAGTGTTAAATAGTAACAAAAGGCATGTTGTTTTCAGTTGGATTAATGCCATTTGTGATTTGTTTGTTTTGTGAGCCCGAAGACAATGGAAGTTTTATGAAAATGAAGCCAACACTCTGTGTAACCGGATATACAAGAGTCACTCCTATATATATGTATATCATTGAGTTAATTGTGGAAAACAGATTAAAAGAAGTGGACGTGTCAAGTTAATTTTAATTCTTATTTTATCTGATCTGTTTGGCAAAAAGTCTTCAGGTAGAGTGAGGCGGCACACTGACTTACACCATGGGTGCTGTGATTTCTGCCTATCCCCACCCCCCCCCCCCCCCCCCCCCCCCACCTGATGTGCTGATTAGTCTATAAAATATAGGTTTATAGCCCTATATGCCTAAAGGTAAGGAAGAGGTTGCTTCACTTTTCTTTTAACAAAGGACTTACTATCAAGTTTCTATGTGTGTTTATTTCAGAATAAAACACATTTTCACTAGAAATTGCAAACAAATTGTCTTGTAAGTAGACATTACTTAACTCTTTGAGTCCCAGGGGGTTTAGCATCACAGGCCCAGGGGGCAGTAAGAAAAGTCATAAAATCGGCGCATCATGCGTTCATTGGGCTTCTAGGTAGGAGCCTATGAACGTATGATGCGTTCCTTGGGACTCAGAGAGTTAAACGAGGATGCTGTCTGTTTTATGTAAATATTATGTGGGGTTAATTTGGGTTCTAGTGAAGAGTGCCAGCAATTTTATGAGAATAAATCACCAAATATTATCATCACTGCCTTTTTTTCATTCATGAAAATGTGAAATAGCTAGTTTTTGCTTTTTTGTTACCAGAGCTGTTTGTGTCATCCATATGTCTTTTATGTGTCTGGTTTGAATCCTGTCATATCTTTTGTCC